GTGCAGAGCCAGAGGGTTAGAGCAGGGTGTTTGTGTGCGAGAGAGAGAGTATGTGTGTGTGTGTGTGTGTGTGTGTGTGTGTGCTTCCATATAATTCCTACTCTGACTACCATTTTTATATTGTGTTTTTGTATATGTATGTGTGTACAGCTGCAGAGAGTGTGGGGAAGTTTAATTTCCACTTGTGCTCTTTTACCTGGAGAGATTCATCCCAGACTGCCCCCTAGTTGCTTCAAGGAGAAGTGCATGCATCCGACTTTCTCTCCATTTTCACATATTTTGATAAATTAAAAGCAATATCTATATTGAAAAGCAATCTTTCCCTTGTTTTTGTTTTTCTTTGGAACACTTCAGAACACAAGTTAGTAAACCAGGAGAGAGTCAGTCTTTACTTTACATGTTCACATGCTGCTTCCCTGTCCTCCACATACCAACACAGACCTTTGTGTTATACATGTATTAATGATGACTACATTGAATCAAGTAATACAGAAAAAGAGCATCCTTTATCTACAGTATTTCCGAGCATAGAAAACATGTTTCAAAGAGTTAGATAACGTTACTGCACTTTTAGACTTTCAAAACTATCACACGCACATATACAAATACATGCATACTAGGGTGTGTTGTTCCCACCTGGAAATCGTGGCAGGGCAAGAAAGCTCTAAGATAGCACTTCATAAAAGTATTCTGTAAGACACATAATAACCCAGCAGTTATGTCTCACATGCTGTACGTCTGCTTCTATCTCAATCTCACATCAAAATCACAATCCCCAGTGTGCTCTGAGCTGCTGTTTCCATGTTCTGCCCTCCATCAGACAGAGAATAATATGTACCTTGTCACCAACGTCTACCCATACAAGCAACTTTCCTCTACTAATTCAGCCCTGCATGCCATACACATCCGTCAGATATAACTGGCGGAGGAGAGGGCATGCCGAGACGTCCATTAAAGGTTCCTAGCTGTCAAAGGTTCCCCTTTGTGTTTTGAGGAGCGATATAAGTGTCGTGCTCTTATCAGAGCTTCCTGTGGAGTTTGCTCTGCATCCTGTCCACTCAGAGCCGCTTCTCTTTCACTGAAGTCTCATTGTGTCTTTGCGCGTGTGTGTGTGTGTGTGTGTGTGTGTGTGTGTGTGTGTGTGTGTGTGTACAGTGAGGTAATGTCCTTACAAATGCACGGTTATTTAACACAACCTTCCTTCCCCCATCTCTGTGCCGCAATGCTCTTAACCGCCGCGCCACCCCAAACACAAACAAGCAGTGATGGAACTGGGTCGCCACTACCACTCTTTGGATTTCCACCTCTCATTCTCTCCATCTAGCACCATCTTTCTCCATCCCTCTCCCAGTTTGTTTGACCCTCTCTCTCTCATGTTAACTCTTCTCATCTCTCTTTTGCCTTCCCGGACTGTGTTGGTCTCACACCACTAGAGGGAGTGACCACGCACCACTACAATACTGGGCTAACAAAACACAAGGATGTTATTGATCCGAGGGGGGGGGGGAGAAGACGGGAGTCGAGGTGTGACAACACTCTGTCTCGGACACAATGACCCCTCTCCACATATTTCCTTACTCTCTCTCTCTTTCTCCCTCATTCATTCATTTGTCTTGGATCAATATCACCAGCAGTATGGCGTCCAGTGGTGGTCTCAGCAGTCTGCAGGCTATTGGCACTGTGCAATGTGTGTGTGTTTAATGTAACAGAGTGTGTGTGTGTGTGTGTGTGTGTGTGTGTGTGTGTGTGTGTGTGTGTGTGTGTGTGTGTGTGTGTGTGTGTGTGTGTGTGTATTCATGCATGCATGCTTGTGTGTGTTTGTGTGTGCATGTGTGTGTGTGCTGTCATGCAAGTGATTTTTTGATGCTTTTAAATCATACCAAACCATAGGTCAAACAATGAAAAAGGCCTTTTACTTAAAAATAATTTATATTGACGTGTAATAATGTTCCCTCATTTTATTATTATTTTAACCTTTTTTCATGCATTCTGACATTTGTATCAGTTGTAACTCTGAACCACTTTATTTATAGGTAAAACCAAAAGTAAAGACCTATATTTTCACAACACAAGGCAACTGTGTGCTCAGAACTAACGTAAAGGATTTAGCTCAAAGTGGAATCAGGAAATCAATCTTTAAACGGACGGATGTTTAATGGACAGTTTGGGTATTAACGTTAGTATTGGCGTTACGTTGTCTTTATTTCCTCTTCCAAATAGGTTTGACTTTCCAAGTTTGTTTAAACCTTTGTGATTTTCTACTGGTTGTTTTGTATTGCCTATTCAGACTCTCAGAGTGAAGTAAATAAACGCTGGAATAAAATGTATTAATTCTGATGATTTTCCAAACCAGGGCAAATATCCAAATTGAATAATTGTAGAGAAGTTGGAGGATGTGGAGCAGGATGTAAGTGTAAGTGATATGAAGAGTTAAGTTGGAAGCCAATCAATGATATGCCCAAATGTAAAGGTTAGACTTGAATTGTTAAAGAGCATTTTGTAAATACACAAACAGCATTTTCTGATATTTTTAGTGTCCCATTTATGTATGTTGCCTCTAATCTGGAGTACTTTAGGGGTTGACTTTGAGCTGCCTGGCTTGCATTGTTTAGTTGAAACCCTTTCACACGTGGAGTTGATGATTTCCAACATCACCCCACCCCAATGTGACGTAGAAAAGGGGGGGAAATGAACAAGAAAGGTAAATAAACAAACAATCAGCCGTGGGCTTGTTCTGGCTCTCCTTCTCTGTTGCACCTCATTTGAAGCCTTATAAATCAGGCTTCCACCCGGAGACAGGGTGTTAGCAGGCTTCCCAGACACACACACACACACACACACACACACACACACACACACACACACACACACACACACACACACACACACACACGTGCACACGCAGAAACGCACAACACACAGGTCTGCAGCTCATTAAGCCTGTGATCAGACCCTTAAATGTGTCTTTAGTGGTGGGGGGGGGGACAACATGTGTGTGTATGAATACTTCCATGCCTACATATTGGGCATGGTAGTATTCACATACTAAGTGTCTGTGCAGAGTCGCACTTCCCTAACCCCCCCTAACACCTAGGTATTACGCCTAAAAAAAGAAACAATCCCACCTTGACTCCACCTGGATCCCAGCTTTTCTCCATGTGTTCATAAAACATGTACGATACCTGTCGCAACTCCCTGGCAACGCCATGACAAGTGCACTCTGACTCCGCTGCCTGCAGAAGAGATATTGGGTGGGGTAGTTGGTGTGTTGTGGGGGGGGGGCATGCCTGGTTAGCTTTCAGTGACTGTTTTCACACATAAAATAAAGGCCTGGACTCGATCAAGCCAAGTGTTTAAGTTGTAAAATGGAAGCAGAGGAGGCAGTAGATGTGTAGAGTGGAGAGTAAGGATAACACTCATTGTTTTATTTAGAAGGTCTTCCAGTTTACATTTTTCACGTTTCTTTTTTCTGACAGAAAATACATAACAGGAACTGATTTGTACAAACAATATGTTTTCCATCTCTCACGATCAGCAAATACATTTACATAAGCAATGGCCACAGCTTTTATTTTAAGCTTGTGAAACAGGGTTTTAAAACGGGGTTTACGGTTTGGAGGCACTAACAGTCATTGTTATTCCAAAGCAAGCGCATTTAGTGAGGAGTGTAAACTCACACCTTGGCTTGAAAGTAGAAACATTTGTGTTATCTCAACGAAGCGCACATGCATTCGCCTGAAACGGTTGCCGTATTTGTACAAACAAGCAAATGGCAGTTCTTCCACACCTCCAACCAGACCCTTTACATATTTACTCACCAAACTTGGCACCTGCACCTCCACCCACGAAAATACACCTTCTGCACGCGCTAACCCAGACAACAAGAACATGACCATTTACACTTTACGAGCTGGGAAAAAAAACAGGCAGTTAGAGAGGTTCATGAACTTTGCACATCTAAAAACGTCAGATGGTTGGTTGGTTCTTCTCCATCACACCTCGATTTCCTTCAGCAGACATTTGACTGTGATTAGGAGCACAGAGAGTCAAGCTAGAGGTCAGCGTTGGGCACCGCGCTGATTGGAAGTTGTAATTAGAGGAGTTGCTCTGTCTCGGGCCACTTCTCCCCAGAGAATTCACACAGGCTCAGTATCAAATGCAGGGCCGAGGAGAAATTGGAGCTTCACCCACAGCTTGGTGGGCTTAGGGGTTTTAGCCCAGCTACCCCCAGATTCACAGAAACATCCAACTCCACCACACACCTACTGATACACGCACACAATTGCATTCAAAGGAACCAACAGTAGAAACATGGCTTGCCTTTAAATCGTTGTGCTGTCTCTTTTTCATTCATTTCATAAATGCAGTGTTTTTGCTCTTTTGGCAAATTTGAGGACTTTTTTCTATTTCTTGTCATTCAATAGTGTACAATTTTGGGAATAATGTGATCCCATTTTCATATGTATACATCCAGCATTGTTAGTTCCTTCATGGTTTTTCCCCCTTACGTTTTCTCCACAATAAGCCGCTATTGTCTCCTTGTTCTCCTCCTCTTCCTCCTTTACCTCTACCTCCATCCTTCATTCTCTGTGAAAGCGGGTAACATGAAACCCGCTCTTGGAGTCTCAGGGGGGCGTAGGGGTTACAAAGGGTGATCAATATGTGCCAGAGAAAGTCTTTAGACGAGTGAAAGAAGCCATAGTTTGTTACTCCCTCCTGCTTCCTCCTCCTTTCCCTCTTTCCTCTTCTTGTTGTTGGGATTGACAAGGTTAGGTGGCCCTAACACCCACTGACATGTTGCCCCTATGTGTCTTAAAGTTGACTGACATGAAACTCCTGGCGCTGCTGTTTTTTTTACCCTTTTCTGCACTTTAAAAACGTTGCATTTCTTTTAACTACCTCTTTGGAAAATGCTATGGAAAAATATTTCATGGGATTTGATAAATGAAAAAAAAGATAAATGTGTCTCTGTAATAATATCTAACCTGTTGCTCTCCAACAGGTGGTCGACGACATGGGCAACGTGAAGTTTGCGCTGGACACAGGCCCGGACACCCCCGGCAACAGCTGGCTCAAATACGTCCGCTCTGCCCTGTCATTTGAGGAGCAGAACCTTGCCGCCTGTCACCTCACTGGAGACCAGGTGAGTGACATGACAGGGATGTCCTGCTTTGATTGGTCGTCCGAATATGAAAGAAACCAGCAGTATGTTGACAGCAATAGGCAAGGGGGGTAGCTGTTATTGTTTCACATCCGCCGAGAGTGGACACTGGGTAGATCCGTCTGAATCTCTGCGTGCACGCTGGTGTGTGTGTGTGTGTGTGTGTGTGTGTGTGTGTGTGTGTGTGTGTGTGTGTGTGTGTGTGTGTGTGTGTGTGTGTGTGTGTGTGTGTGTGTGTGTGTGTGTGTGTGTGTGTGTGTGAACCATTGTAGTAGCACATTTTGTGTGTGTTGGTAATGACCAAGGAATGGCTCTATTGTGTGTCTGTGGCTGGGCCAGTTGCCAGTGCTGTTAGGAAATGACCCTTTCAAGGAGGCTGAAGAATAGCCTGAGACTCATGAGTCCCATAATAACCATTATCCAAGGCACTGTCTTCTTCTGTGGAGGCAGCAGTTTCTCTCAGTTTCTGCTTCATAAATCCTCTCTCTCTCTCTCTCTCTCTCTCTCTCTCTCTCTCTCTCTCTCTCTCTCTCTCGCGGAACCTGGGTAAGGCATCCGATACTTTTGGAAAGATGCCCAGCCAGTGCCCATAAAACCCCAACTGCTTAACTAGGCCCTAACCCCAACCCCATGCATGTGCCACAACCTACTGCTGCAATATATTAGCGTATTTCTCGGTTTCCCTTTTTCCTGCAGAGGCTGTTTTCTCCTGTTTTTGCTTTGCTGACTCTTGTCCCAGTTTCTTTAAATGAAATACCAGCAGTGTGCCATTACCTGACACACGTGTATGCATACAAAAAATCTCCACACAAAGACAAAACAATTCAACCATGGAAACATTATGGAGGTATGACAGTAGCCACATGCATCCATATGACTTGCCTGTGTGTTTCCACATTCCTGTCACTCCACTCTTATTTGTTTCCTAATCCCTGCCTACATGGCTCTTTCCCCCTCCTGTCTCGGTCTCTAGCCGCCTGTTCCTCGCTGTCTTTGTCTCCTTTCTCTGTCCTAACGTCTTGATCTGCCACCTGTCACTCTGTCACACTGAGGGGACAAGCTAGTGTGTCCATTTAAGCTTCAGCCTGACCGATAGAGAGAAAGGGGGCTTGGGCCAAGTGAGAGAGGGAGCACACAAGGGCCTCCGAGATTGACAAGCACCAATTGGCTGGCAACACCAACCCGCCTAATCCTTTTAAGATTTTCACATCAGTGCCCCCTGCCACTGCCACACAATATCAAAGAAGGAATCAGGGCACCGGCGAAAATTGTGGAGAATTATCAGAACCAGAGGCCACGTGCATGATTGTTTTTTTATGTGTTTTTTCAGTTATTTGTACTTAGCAAACAGCTTTGCTTTTGTTTGCCTGACCAGTTGCTTGGTGTAGTGGCTCACAGGTATGACCCTATCATTTATTTACTAACACACACACACACAGCCACTCAGTGCTAAAATGTATAATTTAACAGACTATTCAGTGATTTTTCTTTTCTTCTTTTGTATTAGCATGCACAATGCATGAGTTTATGGAAATATGTGCACACAGGGCAAATTCATATGCGGGTAGTAAACTTTTAAAAAGCAAGTGGATATTTTATTTGTTTATTTGTTTGTCATTAATGATGTGAGATGAACATATGTGTGCAAGATCATGCATAATTTATATATTTATGGTCATGCACTAATTTGCTATTATTTCATATATTTGGTTCCATATAAATCAGATGCAATAAATGTGCCCAGAACACATTGAAATGATGTTGGGTCTTTGAGCATTTGTAAAAAGAAAAATGTAATCCGTTTAAAATAAATGTACTAGTACTTTGTGCAGGTCTCTGCAAACAGCCACATTATTTTAGTTCTTAGTCAGTCCTCAAGCAAATGCAAAAATGCACACACACACACACACACACACACACACACACACACACACACACACACACACACACACACACACACACACACACACACACACACACACACACACACACACCAGTTCGTCCTGATGCAATATTCAGGCACCTTAAATGATGGCCTTACAAAGCAAGGCAATCAACAGTATCCCCTGTGTTCTTGTGTGGGTGGGTGTGTGTGTGTGTGTGTGTGTGTGTGTGTGTGTGTGTGTGTGTGTGTGTGTGTTGTGTGTGTGTGTGTGTGTGTGTGTGTGTGTGTGTGTGTGTGTGTGTGTGTGTGTGTGTGTGTGTGTGTGTGTGTGTGTGTGTGTGTGTGTGTGTGTGTGTGTGTGTGTTTGAGGTTTGATGAGAAGATGAATCTTGTCCACCTTCTTGTCAACCCTTTATCTTTTTTGTTTTTGGAGTGGAGGCCCTTCAATGCTGTTTGATCTGCCCTTCTACCCCGAGATGGATCCATCAATAAATAGACACTGCGTGTGTTGGTGTGTGTGGGTGTGTGTGTGTGTGTGTGTGTGAGGCCACAGTGGGGGGTTATTGCTGACCCTACGGCTGGCATTGATCGATGGGGCATCTGTCCCCTCAACACTGGATAGAGATGGGAAGAGGTCAAGAAAGGTCTGATTGTGTAGGCCTTACTGTAGAATCCTACAAAGATTCATGGAGACTCAAAATGCTGCAGAAAAATACAAATATTTATTGTGAATGTTTTTTAATTTTCCTAATTATTCTACTGTATTCCTAAAAAAGTAATATTTGATGACTACGTTTTCATCTGTAAGCCTGCGAAAGATTTTCATAATTTTAAAGTATTTAAAATAAATGGATGGCAAAAAACATAAAATAAAACAAATGTTGAAATTATTACACAGTGCTACGTAATCTACCGATATAATTTATTCACAATCAGTCATTCGTGTCACCCGTATTGAACGCTTTTTATTTATTTTTTCTCGAAATCAAAATGTTCAATTAAAATGATTGAAAAAAAGAATAAAAGTATATAAATAATTAATAGCATTTTTAATTAAGTGTTTGGTGATTAATGCAAAAATATTTTTTATTTCTTACAGGTTATGTAAAAAATATCAAATAAGTTATCCTTAAACATCCCAGTTAAAATTACTGTCCTGACCCAAATAAATCCCTCAAGAGATTAATAAATTGCTCCCATCGTTGGGCAGGTGCTGTAATAAAAGTAAACGAAATATTGTTTTTGCATTTTGTATTCAACTAAAATAACATTAATCAACAAAAGGTCTATTGGTATTTTTTTCTGGGTTGATTTATTTGATCGTGTACTTCACCCGTGTGTTTGAAAGTGACCGATAGTAAGTGCAAGTCTGTCAGGCAGATTTATCCATTATTTACATCAATAATGGATGTATCAAGCGGCCAAAGCGGCGGCAGGGATCTGAGATGCGGGGAGGGGTCTGCGCCGCAGATCCCTCAATCCTTTTGGCTGGAGATAAGACGAGGAGGAGTGGCCGACGGGTAACCGAGAGAGCACCGAGGGGCAACAGGGAATCACTAATGAGAGAGAGAGAGTCAGGAAGAGAGAGAGAAAGAGAGAGACCCATCATCATCATCAAAGACGCGCTCACTGACTAGATTAGAGAGTAGACGAGCAGAAGAGCGTCGGGCTTTATCCAGATAGAGGAAGCGAGCACCGACCGTCCGCAGCGTGCCTGGCCGCTCCGAGACCTCCTCTCCCCGGCCCTGTGAGTTCCAGCACCCCGCTCCCTCTCCGTTAGAACTACTATGGGTTGTGTCGCCAACTCCACCGGGACTGAAGTGCTCCTGCAGCTGGAGGCTCTCCGCAGCGCCGCGCAACTTTCTCAACTATTCCGGCTCACAGAGAAAAGAAAGGTCAGGTCGAAAAAACGTAGAGAAGTTGTCGCTTTGCTTAATAATAATAATGTTAATAATAAGCCGTACTATTTTCATTGATTTTAGGCCTTTGCGCCTTGTGTCCTCTCAAGAGCACTAGGTCTTGGAAGTTGGTTTCGCCGGCCTCTCTGTGTGTGACAGTGTGTGTGTTTGTGAATGAGTGTGTGCTCTGCCTACCTTTTTGGGAGTCATTATTCAGTTGGTGCAGAGCGCCCCCCTGTGTTGGAGAGGTCACAGCTTCTGCATGCAAATTGAAGTGGTTGTTTGCGCTGTTTCATTGGGACGCATGAAGCTGTGATATTTGTTGTATTGAAAAGTATACACGTTAGATTGTTATGCAGTTTAATGAATATGCCTTAGTTTAGACTATATGTTTAATGTAAGGTTGGTTAACGGATTTTCACATGTTGGGAAGAGATCTGATAAGGCCTTGGTTATTAATGGCCTCTAGTATTGCCATTAATTCCTGTTTTTCCTTCGCATTTACTTCCAGGGAAAAAGCTCATTATCTAGCAGTCATTTATCTCTGATCACACAATGTAAATGACCTCAATCAAATGAATAGTTGTGTGCAGTTAAAGATCCAACATTTCCCGGTTTACTGCAGCTGTAAATGAGAAACGCATCAGAGCAGCTGAGCTGTTTGATGTTTCTTTTTGTTTCGCTCACCACTTTTCTTTCAGACTGTTTAGGCTCATTACAGCAGTATTTGTATCGTCTGGATTTCATCTGCATTTTTTTCAAAGTTTGAGTAATTCCTTGAAAGAACGCTGACCTATGTTGTGTTTTATTTTCAGGTGATTTATAACGGGGGGCGCGCATATTCGTTTTTTATTCGTTTTGTTTAGGCCTATTTATAAATTCTGAGTAGAATAATATAAATACATGTCTTGTGTCATGCGCTTCACACACAGTCCCGCTTTTAACTAGGCCTATACATTTTTATAAAAATATGTTTCCATAACTCCGTAGGCTATATCATGGACTATGTATCCTATTTAAGACATGTCTGGTGTTTTATTTAACCACTAAATTAATATGCTAATATTATATGTTTCGGCTGTGGACCTTTCTTTTAACTATCGATATTAACAACATTGGGGTTCAGACTTATTAATTCCATCTTTACATTAAGTTAAAGTCCCCCTCTCTTTTTCTCTCTCCTCAGATGTATTATAAAGCTGTCCGGGACATTGAAGCAGGGGAGGAGCTCTTAGTGTATATGAAGGACGGTATTTTCCCCGAGGGATCCATGGCACCCAACCTACAAGGTAAGATTAATGCGCGTCATTAGCGCACATTTTAAACAAACTCCAACCTGCATCCTGAGCTGCTTTCGCGGTCAACACACTGCATAACCTCGCTAATGTGACGAGGGGAAATAAACCATCGCCCCCTTTAAGAGTTTTTTGCTCAAGAAATGTGAATTACTCGAATCATAAAGTTCCATGATGCAATTAAATCCCGCATTAAAGCATCTGGTTGAAGGCGTTTTTGGACCAGTCATTTCGAATAGGCCTGACAATAATGAAGGCTGGTCTGAATTGTGCGCTTACAATGCGGCAATGTAATGGGCCTCTGTTCCTGTAATACTGTATCAGAGCGTCAATTGGCACTTGTCAGATTCCATCCATTAAGTGAGTAGAGATTTTCAAATAACGGAAAGCCGGGAATAAACCTAAAATATTCGTAGGCCTAATAAATATCCTCGTGAAGACTGCATTAATGGGAACCTGCATCCGGGAGACTGGAATTTCATTTGTCACATCGACCAAAATATATAAAAAACATATTTACACTTCACAAGTCAACGCTGCTGTATCCCCCTAAAAATTAAGCCTAAACCTTTAAGTATGTATTTTAACGTTTTTTCATTTGTTTTCGTGCAGTGTAATAATGTCCCAGTCAGACTGTATTCTGAGCATAATAAAAAAAAAACATTAAAAAAAAATAATAATTACCTAACCAATTCAAGTTATTCAATTGCAAAACTAAAATATAAAATGATTATGGAAGCATCACATGTGGTCCATACTTGATAACACATTAATGGGATTCAAGTTGATTAAACCTGATGTAGCAGCCTGAAATGTGTTTATTAATCCAGTCTTACACTCGTTTTTAGTCAAACATGTGTTAAAGATGATTACAATCAAATTACAATTGATTTTGAGAAATATATGCTCTGGAATATAAAAAAATTAAAATATGATACGACTTTTATCCATAATCTTCCATATAAATGTATGTGTATGTTAGTTTGATCTTTGCTCTGAGTTACAACACTAAAATCTGTAAGGTCCTGTGTGTTAAGTGCCCTGCTACACCTTGCTGTACAGTGCTGTATTCATACTGGCTCACATTTCAAAGTGCGTCATGTCTTTAGGTGCTCTCACCGCCTGTCTTCCCTCTGAGTGGGTAACTCGACTCACTGTACTCACTACCTTTCAACCGTGCCTCTATATGTCAGAATGAATAAATCCAATATTTTATCTCATAATCTTACTTGGACAGCTGTTCACTGTCGATCTGGGCTTTTCTTTCAAAGTTCACTTAAGCGGAAAAGGAGCCGTAGTTCCGCTGTATTTCTTTAAACATCTTGGATTTATTGTGGCAAAAGGCTGTTGTCAGGTAACATTGTTTTGTTGTGTATCCAGTCTGTCTGGAACCACAGATGAAAACAGAAATCAGATTACTCTTACTTGTCATTGACTATAAAATGGTGAAGGAGGAGACCAAGATGTTTCGTGAGATGTTCTGCAGCTTTTCCCCCCTTGCATGATGCACCGTTTGTGCACATATCTCCATGCCAGGGGAAACGGGAGCTCAAAGCAAGATTGATTATTGAAAAGAAGCAGATTGCCCTGTTATAGGAGTGCGTCAAAGATGGAGCAGACTCGTAAATGATTTATTCAATTCCTCTGTGTGTATGTAAAGTATAGAGAGGGGGATGCAGGCAGATAGAAAAGTGAAACACTCCACCTGCCAGAATGTGTGTGTCATAGCATTGGTGTTGTGTCGTTCTGAAAGAGGGATGAGGAAAGACACAAAAAGTGTTACACTTCCTCCACTGTTTGTGAGAGAGACAAAAAAGCAGAAAGAGTGTTGGACAAAGAGAGACAGTTAAAGCACCTATACTGTAGGGATGAGTGTCTGTTTTTTCTCTGTGTATTTGAGTGTGTGTTTGAGAGAGAAAGGTAGCAGGGCTGAGTGGGAGCTTGGCAGTGCAGAGCCGCTCTCTGTGTCTGGCTTATCGGAGAAGGAATTTGAAGTAGAGGACTTGAGGAGTCCCCTGAGACCTCACCCATGCTCCCAGATTAGCTGCTAAACTGCACATAATTGTGCTTCACTTCGTCTCCCAGAGAGCTATTAGTCTCCCCGTTATTAACCCCCCCCCACACCCAGACCAGACTTTCTGAAAAAACAGAGGCTCGCTGGTGCACATATGCACGCACCTTTATTTACGTGAGTCCTCAACGTAACACACATGCATGCACTTCTGAGTGTCCACACAACATTGTGTTTATATCAACTCCAACATTCCAACTGCAAGTGGGATTTGCAAATACTTTTATCATTCACACACACTTTTTCAAATTCAACAAATGTCGTAAAGGCGACAGACAAAAGCATCTGAGTGCTTACAGCATCAGAGCAAATGCAAACCCTCTCGGTGTTGATTGCTCCCTCTCCATGAAATATGCTCACACTGGTGTCAAAGTAAGCAAGTTAGTTTAGCATTTGAGCTCAGTGTAATGGCCCATTGACCAGAGGGTTATTTATCCTTCTCCCCAAGGTTAGACACATTGATGTTGCTACACTAATGCCCTGTTAATGTGCCCAAGAACTTTCTAGCTGGATAAACGCTTACATGCAGTAGAGAACAGGTGAGCCATGCACTGTAAGTCATTTGGGATAAACTCATTTAGTGCACCTTGAGATGACTGATGGGTGTGCATGGGCTGTTGGGACTTCAGGGGGGGGTTGACTCAGGCGGTGGCTGCTCGGGTCTTGGCAAAGGGGGTATATAATGTAGCAGGTTGGCGCTGAAATCACCATGGGGTTGGCGCCACTATTCCCCTGCTTACCTCTGTTCCTTATGGGTCATTCTTTTTGGAGAAAGTTCACATAAACACACACACACATACACACACATTATTGCCTGTGCACAAAGACACTCCACTGGGCTTTCCCCGATCTGTTGAACTTGGCATCTGAGTCAGGAACTTGCTATTGAAAAGACTGGCCGAGTTTTATGTGTTTGACCTTGGTGGTGAGAAGTATTGTAAAGGTTATCAACATGGAAGGGGAAGACCAGCCCCTATTGTTTCCCCTGTGGGCCATTACACCTAGAGTCTCAAGAAAACACTTGCTTTAACAAGCAATTAACAGTGTTAATGAAGGCTACATTTCACTGCTAATTGATTTCCAATTTATGGGAATGTCAATTGCTGGATTGTTGCTTTTACCAAATGGGAGTCTATTTAGCTGTAACTAACATACAGCTAGGTAATAGATGTCCACTCTTGTTGAGGAATACAAACTGTTTAGTTTAGGGTGATGTATTAGGAAGACATTTTGTCACATAATGGTGAAACTGGATATTTGTGTGTTTTTTCCAACAGAAATAAATACAGAATGTTGCAGTTTATTCCAGATTTAATAAGTTTTAAAGTGTTCTTTAAGCATTTAATTAGGATTTCAATTGATGTTATATGTTTCTTGAAGGACAAATTATTTCAGGAATTGTGCCATGGGTAAACAACTTTGTTTGTTTCTGTGTGTGTGTGCAGACGAGCAGATGTACCGGTGTGAAGACTGTGATGAGCTGTTCTCCTCAACACTTGAGCTGCGGCGGCACCAGAAGTATTCATGCACCAGTAGCGGCTCCATCTTTGACACACTGAGAGAGGACTTCAAACAGGAGCGCGAGGACAGCGACGAGCCTATCCACGAGTGTAAAGACTGTGAGAAGATCTTCCCGAATGAGTACAGGTACACAAATATGTGATAACCATTAATTTCTTATCCATTTGTCCTATGGTTGCAACCATTGCAACTTGCCTGATTCATTGAATCCACTGATGGTGTTGTGCTCTCCTGATCTAGTCTGGGCCAACACATGATAGTCCACACAGAGGAGAGGGAGTACAAATGTGACCAGTGCCCCAAAGCCTTCAACTGGAAGTCCAACCTCATCCGTCACCAGATGTCACATGACAGTGGCAAGCGTTTTGAGTGTGAAAACTGTGATAAGGTACAGCATACCCGGCACGTAAGTTGTGCACTGCACACACAGCATTAATCTGCATCAGAAATTCACCTGGACTTGTTTTTTAGGCTGCATACACAATGGTTCTCAACACTGATTTAGTCATTCTGAAAAAACAGCATTCTTTTCATTGTTTGTTATGGCGTACATTTTATGTTCATACACTTATTTTAAATTTCAGGTGTTCACAGATCCTAGCAACCTTCAGCGTCATATCCGCTCCCAGCACGTGGGGGCACGCGCTCACACATGTCCTGAGTGTGGCAAGACCTTTGCTACTTCGTCAGGCCTCAAGCAGCATAAGCACATCCACAGCAGTGTCAAACCCTTTATCTGTAAGTCAGAGCTTTAAAAGTTAAAGCCTTATTTGATACAGTGTATTTTTTTTTAAACGTATTTCCATTCACCTCATCTAATTGTCCATCACCTTCCTGTATCTTGCTTCTCCATTTACTTTTTTTTTTACATAACCTGAACCAATCATACAGGTCGACGGATCATTATATGTATTATGATTAACTTAATTGTGTACTCCAAATAATAGATTTGACCTATTAACTTATAATCTTTCTTTCCCTAGGAAACTTGATGACATATTGTTTCGATTCGTTTTGACTACTACTTTAATAGTAATAGTGGATAGTTATGCCTCATTTTTAACTGTGGAATTTAATACATAATGTTTTTATTTTCTCTATTTTGTCAGTACTTACCATTCAGTAATTGTGTTGCTGTTGATTCGGTATACAAAGTTAGAGACAGTGTTAAAATGGGTTTAACCAGGCCCTGATGGGCTGTCTCCTTTTGTTCCCCCAGGCGAGGTGTGCCACAAATCCTACACCCAGTTCTCCAATCTCTGCCGCCACAAGCGCATGCATGCTGACTGCCGCACCCAGATCAAGTGCAAGGACTGTGGACAGTTGTTCAGCACTACCTCCTCCCTCAACAAGCATCGTCGCTTCTGTGAGGGCAAGAACCATTATGGCTCTCCAGCAGGGATGTTCAACCCTGGCATCCCCATGAGCTCCAGTCCCATCATGGCTAAGATAAAGTCCCACCACCCCCACCTTTCAGGTCTAAACCAGTCAGGTTTAGGCTTCACTGACTACTTTCCCTCCCGACCTCACCCTCACGCTGGCATGCCCTTCTCCCATGGACCCCATGGCTTCCCATCCCTCCCTCATGGTTTTCCAGGTATCTTCTCCCAATCACTCTATCCGCGACCACCTTTATTGCCGGCTAGTTCGTTGCTAAAGAGCCCGATGGGCGGTGGCAGTCAGGAGGTGAAACTTCCTCGGAGTCCCCTAGATGCCCCTCCACTGTCCATGGTTAGCTCCACAAACAGCAATGGAGGAAACCGTTTGAGTCAGCTGGAAGACAAAGAAAAAGAGAACAAACTGGATTTGTCTTCTGGAGAAGCCAAGACAAAATCTAAGCTTGCAGACATGTCTGATGGTAGTGACCTCGAAGACGTTAATACCACAAGTGGGACAGATTTGGACACCACCACTGGTACGGCTTCAGGTGATGGTTCTGACCTGGAGAGTGATGGAGAGAGTGAACGTGAGCGAAGTGGTAAAAGAAGGAAGCAGTCTGAAGCCATATCAAGTCAGGAAGGCCACCAGTTAGAAGACATGAACAGTGCGTTGATATCAGCCATGTCTAGTTCTGGTAACTTCGCTATTGATCGTCCCTTTCTTTCATCTGCATCCCATCACTCCTTCTTCCCTCCGCCTGATGAGCAAGCCCTCCCGCCCACCCACACAAATGCCAATGCAGCCACCACAGATTCCATCAAAGCCATCGCCTCTATTGCTGAGAAATATTTTGGTCCAGGTTTGATTGGTCTCCATCAGGAGAAGAAAATGGGTCCATTGCCCTACCATTCCATGTTTCCCTTCCAGTTTCTACCCAACTTTCACAACTCCCTCTATCCCTTCAGTGCTGATCGAGGTGCCCTCAATCCTAATATGTTCTTTAAGGCAGAGCCCAAGTCACCTCGCGAGCAGCTGCACAAGATGGCTTCTGGTGCCCCAGGAGTTCCTGCTTCATCAGGAGAGTCCGCATTTGATCTCACCACAAAGCCCAAGGAGACTAAGTTAGCTCCTCCCACCCCAACACACCCCTCAAACCCCAACAGTAGTACTGGGAGCAGTAGCGGACCTTCAGCAAAATCTAGTGGTGAAGAACAGCCATTGGACCTCAGCATTGGCGGCCGGAGCCGAGGTGGTCATAATGGTGTGGCAGCTGAGCCACATCATAGAAAGAATCACCTATACGGAGTTGGAAAGGGGGTCTCCATCAAGGACGAAAACCCATCTGGGTTTCCTCATCCCCATTCCCATTTGTTGCACCAATCCTCCATCGCCCAGCACCAGCAGCACCATCCCCAGCCACACCAGCCTCCACCCCTGCACTACGCCAAGCCCTCCGCATTCTTCATGGACCCCATATACAGGTATTTAAGCCCTGATAATAACAGAAACTGCTATTTCCACATGAACATGTTTAAATGTTCACACTATAACAAGAGGTTGGCGTTTGAATATTTGATTGGAGGTTTTATATGAAATTGGTACGTAACCCTCTGCCTTGTTGTTGGTCCAGCAGGGTGGAAAAGAGGAAGCTACTCGACCCCGTGGGAGCTCTGAAGGAAAAATTCCTCAGGCCCTCAGCACCACTCTTCCATCCACAGGTAAGCTCACGCCATTTACACACTGGACACAAATCCAGGAAGGCTCTTGTTTTAATCTTACGTAGACACAGCAAATGGTACGTGCACTTTTAATAAACCCTGCAGCAAGGGAGTATCAAACAGGGGAATTGACCTCCAGGTATTGCATAAAGGCTGATTATTCCCAGATGCAATCGACTATTATTTTCAAACCATGTATTATGTGAAAATACCTCACTCTCGCCTCCCACGCTGCTGCAACCTGAATTGATAGGACCCTATGCACCATCATTCCACAGTGTTGATGTTATTTTCTCAAGGGTTCTGTATGATTTCTTCCTTTGTTTACTGAATGGCGCCTGTGTACCTCGTCACTTCTACCTTTTTTCAGAAGACATAGTCTGTTATCGCAGCCCCTTTGATAATCAGTCACATTGTTTGATTGTCCCCAGACCCTCCCTACCTCTACAAATCTTGATTACAAGCAATGATAGTATTAATAAAAGAGAGAATAATAACAGTTTGAATTGTAACAAACTGCCTCTCTTGGCCACGCTAATCTTAGTTGTGGCATTGTTTCATGTACTGGGAGCCCACAGGCCAGCTAATAACTCAACCCCCTCCAAGTTTTTTTTTCTGTGGCTGGCTGGCTGGCTAGATAATAGCACCGTGTCCATCAAGGACATCCTGTGTTTGTCTCCAGGAGAATGGGGGGCTCTCTTGGGGAAACAGTTTAATCTGACCTGGAAATCTGTGTCCTCTATCAACTGTGACTTTGCAAAACACTCATTTGGTGCATAGACAGACAGATACATTTTAACATGAACAAGCATTTTCATATATGACATTGAACTATGTGTGTAGTTAAGCCTTAACAAATGAGTGATCACATTCATCCTGTTCTCATAACAGTTTATTATTCATCATTGGAGGATGAGATCACATCTCATCATTAATCAATACCCCCCGTTGTTACAGTTTTCACACACAACCTTCTCATATCAGAGTCCCAGCTGTGATCCTCCCAGTGATCCAAACACAATGCCACCTCTAATTCAGTCTTATGACGGAATCCCTCCGCTCCCCTCCACCCGTTCTCAGACTGCGAATAAACACATCGAGACGGAGTGTCTGTCCCTGTCTGTCCCGTCCTGTATTCACTAAAAAAGGAAGGATGTAAGCTGTTTTGGCAAATAAACTCCTACATAGCTCGCCCCCTTTGTTCACAAGCTTCTAGGAGCAGGGAAGCGGCTATCAGTTGGGGGTATCTAAAACTATATTGTACAGCTCCAATCAGGGCTCTTGAATGCCTCATTTAGCCTGCAACAGTAGCTTCTACAGAAGACGGTAAGAGGTGTAGAACAAAGCACTGAATCAGGAGCTGAGGGTGTATTGAGTAAGGGGGGAGCAGTGGAGGAATGGTACTTGAGTGTTTGTGAATGTGTTATAGTTCAGGGAGGTGACTCGCTTTTAGCACAAACAAGGCTAACCTCTGATATACTGCTTCCTCAAAGCTTCCGCTCTCTGTCTCCTCCCTCGCTCTCAGTTTTTTCTGACATTGTGTCTTTGTTTTCAATGTTTCCTTTGCTCTTTTAACACACACACACACACACACACACACACACACACACACACACACACACACACACACACACACACACACACACACACACACACA